TGCAGAATTTGTGGGCTGCCAATAGGGATTTGCAAGCACATCCGAGAGGATACTAGGAGCTCTACGGGCCTGTGTGCGAATTCTTGGTGGCTGTGGGACACTACTTGTGCTTGCCACCGCACCAGCTTCTACTGCACTTATGGGACTCGCCACGTCACCAAGTGATATTGCAGTGCTGGTATGAGAAAGGATGTACTTGGCCGCTAGTGCTCGCCAGTTCACCAAAAGGTAGAGTGGCACTAGTACTGGCACTCTGCTGCATATGAGAGTCATCATGCGTTTGTAACATCTCAGCAACCTGGGAACGGGGTGGGGTACGCCTGATCTTAGCAGGGACCTCTTCATCATCTGAGCTATCCGTCAGGGTGCCGCTGCTGTCTACAGGTTCGTATTCTGAGGCCGATTGTGTCAGTGAGTCTTCCCCTTTGCTCTCACCTGACATGCTCAGAATCCTGTAGGCCTCTTCACTAGAGTACCTTTCCATTGACATTTTGGCCACTAAATTTATAGGTACCTAGTGCGACTCACAGGAGAAAAGAGGACGTGGCTGTCAGGGACTGCTTGAACCACTACAAAAAAAATTTACCGGCAAGTGCTAGCAGAGATCAGGCTTGATTCTGTGAACACTGCAGTTTTGTGTGCAATGTATCAAGTGACAGTGATCTACTACCACTGCACTTGCTGGGGGAAAGGGGGAAGGGTAAGCGTAGGAGCTTAACACAGGTGCTGAGGCTGATCCTGCTAACGCTGCATTTTTGGGGACACTATACTAATGTGAACGCTGGTATAGTGCTGATCTGATCAAAGATATTGATCCGTTCAGACACTATACTAGCAATGGAGGTTTATTGTGTATGTGAGCGTGTTCCTGGCAATCAAGAGGTAAATGTGGCTACTGGTGTACTGAAGGGCAATCTGACGCTATCTTGGAGGGGCGCTGACATTAACACTATCTGAAGTCGCCGGCGACACGAATACAGTGATCAGCAAAAAATCTGTACACTGTACTAATGACAGGGCAGTGAAGGGATTAATGGGGGGGGGGGGGGGGGGAATCAAGGGGTTAAATGTATCCCAAAATGTGTTCTAAATGTGCAGGTATAGTACTTTTACTCACGGTGTCTTCTTTCTTCTCTCTGCATCATTTCCAGTACCTATACCTAAACACAGGTACAGGAAGATCCCTGATAGGACAGGGATTGATAATCCGACTTACGCAACCATCACTGGCCTAAATCAGATGATTGATCCCTTGGGGATCAAATCACGGCACCCGCGGGTCGCGCCCCCCCCCCCCCGCCAGGGAAAACAGCAGGAGCGCACATCACGTATATATATACACATGTGATTTTGCGCACCCGTGCCGCCCTGTAGCAGTATTTCCGCTATAGGGCGGCATGGAAGTTATTAAAAATGGATGTATTCCATAACACCATTACAGTGAAAAATATTAAGTATTGTAAAACATGTGTAGTGCTTTTAATAGTTTGTTGCATGTGCAGATATTTACACTCATGGCCAAAAATATTGGCACCTCTGCATTTGTCAGATAATGTACCACTTCGCCCAGAAAATTTTTAAGATTAAAAAATGTTTAGGCATCCTCATGTTTCTTTCTTTTGTTTGCATTGGTATGACACGAAAATAGTGGAGAAACAAAAAGCCAGATCAGACACATTCCACCCAAAACTCCAAAAATGGACTGGACAAAATTATTGGTACCCTCAATTTAATATTTTGTAGCACACCCCTTGGAAATAATAAATAAAATTGATCGCTTCCTGTAACCATCAATGAGTTTCTTACACCTTTCTACTGGAATTCTAGACCACTCTTCTTTCGCCAACTGCTCCAGGTCTCTCAGATTGGAAGGGTTCCTTTTCCCAACTGCTGTTTTGGGATCACTCCACAGGTGCTCTATGGGATTGAGATCTGGACTCATTGCTGGCCAGTTCAGTACTCTCCAGCGCTTTGTCTTAAACCATTTCTGGGTGCTTTTTGACGTGTACTTTGGGTCATTTTCCTGCTGTAAGACCCGTGACCTCTGACAGAGACCCAACGTTCTGACACTGGGCCCTACATTGCACCCCAGAATTCTTTGGTGGTCTTCAGCTTTCATAATGCCATGCATATGGTCCTGACATCCAGTGGCTGAAGCAGCAAAGCAACCCCAAGACATCAGTGAACCTCCCCCATGTTTGAATGTAGGGGCTGTATTATTTTCTTTAAAGGCCTCATTGTGTTTTTCTGAAAGCAGTAGAATGATGGGCTTTACCAAAAAGCTGTAATTTTGTTCCATCTGTCCACATCACATTATCCCAAAAGGATTTTGGCTTCCTCATGTAAGTTTTGGCAAACTCCAATCTGGCTTTTATATGTTTCTGTGTCAGCAGTGGGGCCTCCTGGGTCTCCTACCATAGCGTCCCTTTTCATTCAGATAGCAACGTATAGAGAGCTGACACAGTTGTACCCTGTGCCTGAAGGTCAGCTTGAATTTGTCTGAAAGTTGATCGAGGTCCTTTAGCACCATTCATACAAACTTTTGTTGCAATCTTTGATCTATTTTTCTCATTGTCCATGTCCAGGGCAATTAGCTACAGTGCCATGGGCTGTATTCTTGACAATGTTGTGCACAGTGGACACAGGAACATTAAGATCTCTGGATATGGACAATTCTTTGCTGCTCTCTCTTCTCCATGCTCCATGTGACACACAGACGCACAACAAAAAAGGTTAACTTTTTAACTGGTTGCTGGTGTGATTTCTATATTGTCAGCACCTGTTAATTGATACAGGTGAGTTTAATTAAAAATTACAGGAGCATCACGAACTTGGAATGCAATTACTCCTTATAATTTTGAGAAGGCGCCAATAATTGTGTCCAGTCCATTTTTGGGGTTTTGCATGGAACGTGTCAGATTTGGCTTTTTGTTTCTCCACTTTTTTGTGTCATACCAATACAAACAAAAAAAACCCAAACATGACAATGCTGAAAATTTGCCCTGGAAATATTCCAATCCTCCCATCATCAATTCAACAGTAGCTCTTCAGGGGTTTAACTTGTGAATAGTGTGCCTGGGAGAAGAGGCCAACAGCACGGGGTTACCATATGCCCAACAAAGGGGTCCTTTGCAGCTTCACAAAGCTGCCCAATGATGTGATCAAAAAAGATTGGACATTGTATGAATATCCAAGATGATAAATCACACACACAAATATATATATCACACACACTATATTGTCAAAAATATTGGGACACCCCTCCAAATCATTGGATTCAGGTGCTACAATCACCTCCACGGCCACAGGTGTATAAAATCAAGCACCTAGGCATGCAGACTGCTTCTACAAACATTTGTGAAAGAATGGGTCGATCTCAGGAGCTCAGTGACTCCAAGCGTGGTACCGCGATAGGCTGCCACCTGTGCAATAAGTCCATCCCTGAAATTTCATGGCTACTAAACATTCCACGGTCAGCTGTTGGTGGTATTATAACAAAGTGGAAACAACTGGAAAAAAAAAGCAACTCAGCCATGAAGTGGTAGGCCACGCAAAACGACAGAGCGGAGTCAGCGAATGCTCAAGGGCACAGTCTGCAGAAGTCGCCAACTGTCTGCAGAGTCAATAGCTAAAGACCTCCAAACTTTGTGTGGCCTTCAGATTAGCACAACAACAATGCGTAGAGAGCTTCATGGAATGGGTTTCCATGGCCGAGCAGCTGCATCAAAGACTTACATCACCAAGTGCAATGCAAAGCATCAGATGTAAAGCACACCGTCACTGGACTCTAGAGCAGTGGAGAGGTGTTCTCTGGAGTGACCAATCACGATTCTCTGTCCGGCAATCCGATGCACAGGTCTGGGTTTGGCAGTTGCCAGGAGAACTGTACTTGCCTGACTGCATTGTGCCAAGTATAAAGTTTGGGGGGGGGGGATTATGGTGTGGAGTTGTTTTTCAGGGGCTGGGGTTGGGAACTCTTAAGGCATCAGCATACCAAGACATTTTGGACAATTTCATGCTCCCAACTTCGTGGGAAGAGTTTGGGGATGGCCCCTTCCTGTCCCAACATGACTGCACACCAGTGCACAAAGCAAGGTCCATAAAGACATGGATGAGCGAGTTTGGGGTGGAGGAACTTGACTGGCCTACACAGAGTCCTGGCCTCAACTCGAAAGAACACCTTTGGGATCTTCTACCCACATCTGCTGTCAGTTTTTAAAAAACTCAGCCCTGTGATTCATTCACAGAGTTCTGTGAATGGGAGCACTACAACTACTGTCAGCCATTGCAGCTGATGGCTTGTAGTTCTCAATGAACTACCAGGGTGCTAATAAGCGTGCTAGGTAGTTCACTGATCCTTCCTCTCATTCAGTAACTGGCTGCCCATACAAGGTAAAGGCAAACAGCTACACTGACAGTGTACAGGAGCCTGAGATTGCACTCATCTGCTGATTGCAGCTGCAATACTTTACAAGCTCCTAATAAAATAAGAAATTCAAATTTTTTTTACCTGCAAAAAGATGTGCATTTATAGTTTTTTTTTTTTAAATGGGATGACACTGACAACCCACCACTGTGTAGTATAGTAGCCACTCTCGGTGTAAATGTTTATCATTTTTTCAATATTACTATATCATGACATCACAGCACAGAGTACACAGATCCAGTAACATCAGTCCCTAGCCCTTGAAGCTCACAATAGAACGTCTTTACCATACCTACACGCCAAGGGCAAATCGATTACCCCATATTTGATGGATTCTGGGAGGTTAAGGATGTGATTTAGAATTCTAATCCTGATATTTAGCAATCATTTGTTATCAAATCACTGCCATGTTTATTTTGGGCAAGAACCAGCTACCTGGGCATCAATGATATAGCCACAATACCACTATTAATTAAGGGGCTATATTAAAAGGCCTTAAAATATAACAAACTATATCATGTTTGTATACGGCAACTTTCCATCAGTTTATGCAATAATAAACTAGTTAACTTACATAGTAATCCACCTCCCACTGCCTGGATCACTGTTAGGATTGGGAAGAAATACAGTGCCGCGTAGATACTTTTAAATCGATCTGACTTCCCCAGCCCACAGGCGATCTTCTTTATTAGCAGAGGTCTAAGCAGCATCATTAACACCAAGCAAAACGCATAATAAATAAAAACAATTGTGTACCTGTGGGAAATAGCAAGAAAGATAGTTTTTTGAGTTCAGGGTGACATTCAAGTGGAACTTTACCAATAACAACTTGATAAAAAAAAATGTTTTATCATTATAAATTGAACGTACATTCCACAATAATAATTTCGCTACCAAAATTAGTGTGCTATAAAAATTGTCTCCACCATTGCTCCTGTTTCTTGCTGGAGGCTACCATTTTGCTGCAGCCCAGAGTCCTGCGCAGCATTAAATCTTTAGGCTATCAACAGATTGCCCTCTACAAATTCAGCACAGTGCCTAAAAATGGAGAGCAACTGAGCATGTGCAGAGTAGGGTGCCAGCCTGAACTGATCTAGCAGGACATAACTTTCTGACTAAAGTTCCACTTTAAAAAACTATTCAAGCCTTCTGATGAGTCAGACGATATGGATTTTTTGTTTTTTTTTCCAGCTCTTATCAGATATTGGCATTGATCTAAATAGAAAACTCGTAATTACAAGCAGCAGAAAAAAAAGCTTTTATTGCAAAGGTTCTCTCTCTGATTGTATCGATAACAGCACAATGTTAAGTGAATCAGGGGCAGTTTGCACATCTAATATGGACAATCCCTCAGAAGGTCCCATTGGAGCTGATCTAGGCTTGTTTAAAGTGGAACTTTACTGGGACCAGATACATTACCTGTAATGCTGGTTACCCAACTTCTGGATGGCCGCTGGGGATGCTAAAAGTTCTGGTTGATCATGCCAGATGCTACTATCAGCTGTGTGCATTGAGGATGGCAACTGACAGTTATGGCTACAGTGAAGTGCAGGACTCAAGTCATTCACTCTCACCCTCCTTTCCCCTCATAAGTTCAAGAACAGCCTTGTACTCTGTTTACTGAATACAAGGTGTTCTGTGAATGAATGAGGAGACAGATGTGGCTAGTAAATGTCAGGATCTCTCCTAATCCATTCACAGAATACCTAGTATTCATTGAACAGGATACACAGCATTTTGTCAACAGACAAGGGGAAAGGAGGGCGAGAGTGAATGACTCGAGTCCTGCACTGCACTGTAGCCATAACTGTCAGTTGCAGCCCTCAATGCTCACAGCGGACTCCCTTCCCATACTATACTATAGCCAAAATTATATATATAAAATTCTGCACTTAGGTACAACAATAAAAAAAATAGCAGCTAGCACCAAGAGTACTGATACAAACTTTAAAAAATTACTGCAATAATGGGGATGTCAGCTCTGATGAAACACATCAGTTGGGGCCACGAGATGTCGGTACGTAGATCAAGACCCGGAAGTGGATTGTATGACTACTGCTTTTTTTCTATTCTTGTGAGTATTTTTAATAAAATTGCAAAGTTCTTCTATATACTACACTATGTTGTTTCCACTTACATTTATTGATATCCTTGAGATGTTATGTTGGGAGGAACCCTGTCATTCAAGATGCATATCCCAAGCGTGGATTGCTTTGAAGCTTGTATGACCATACCCGAACCAGTGGTCTTATCATCTGGTAAGGGTGTACTCACATGCATAGTGGTGGATGTGTTTTGCTCATTTTGTTTCAATTCCCACTAATTTGGAGTAACTTATTTCTTTTTTCCCTGTGAGAACGGCACTGGACTTACACTTCATATGGTGGACTTTTTATGGGAATTTTCTGTTTGTACATTAGTTTGCACGATTTAATATTTTGGTATTTATAAGCGCTGCACTTTTATTACTGAACTATAGCCAGAACTGTCAGCTGCAGTGCCGGAAGAAAGGTGCTTACTGTAATATCCCATGAATAAAAGCAGAATGTTTTAGCATCTGGAACCAGCACCATTTCTGTCTACCCCTTCCCCCCTTTTAAAGAGTGAGAGAACACTACCCTTCTTGCATTAAAAAAAAAAACAAACAAAATATAAATCAATATACAATTACGTGAATAAATAACATCTCCAAGGCATGCCTCACCATGTTATTATAAGCACCATATTGTAAATTACTACATTGCTTGGTCTAAAATTGGATTTTTGAATATTATCCATTTAATAAAATGTGTACTTTTACCATAAATATTGTGTTTTTTATACTTACCTACAGCATCTAATAATTTCCATGTAAATATATATGTGCAGTTCTCACTGCTTAATATTTTGGTTGGTTCCTTAGGTAATTTTGATCCATATATCCACTTCACATTAAAGTGGTTGTAAACCCTTACATATATGGAGGGACTGGTGTCAGGCGATATATATCGCTAACCCTTCTACAGGAGTTGTACCTGTATATCTGCAGTCCTCTTTCTCCTCTACATCTGTTCAAAGTACAGAATTTACACAGCATTTCTGATCTTCAGAAGGCAGGCCATGAGGTTCTCAAGCCACACACTGCACATCATACAGCAGGGACCTGAGTTCAATCTGAGACCTGAGTGGAGGGAAAGGAACCCCCCTACAGAGCCTCATAGCAAAACATGCACAGCTGAGGCTGTCAATCATCTGCTGTGTGCTTTAAGGGGGGGGGGGATGGGTGTCCGTCTCCCAGGATTGTCTGTAAATCCTGTCAGAACTGACTCATGCAGATAGAGGAATGAGAGAAAGCAGTCAGAAATCACACTTGTTGCTTTAGATAAAAGTACACACTTTAGAAGGATGTGCTATGTTTATTTTTCACTTCAGGGGTTTAAAACCACATTAATATATTATCACAGTGTAAATCAAGTGCTATGCAATGCTTGTGGCTCCTTTTTTTGATCAGACTCAGAGGCCAGGGAAGGCTGCAGGCATAGATCTGTGTGTACTGTACACTGTGAAGTGCTCTGTACACACACATTCACAAGGTTAGACATGGAGGTCCCGGACAGGCCTTCATTAAAGTGTCATTACACAAAAGCGCAGTAATGATGTCACTACTAAATGTTCTGTAGTTGGTAATTTATCGCATGCTAAAATCAAGTGTTATACTTACAGAGGGTAAACTGCTTCTTGCGTACAGTGCACAGTGTTGACATAGTCTGGACTAGGATTATACAGCATTGTGTACCAATCAGAAAGCTTCCCCACCCCACAGGAGCGAATGTGCAGGTATCCAACTGGTTTCACTAACCAGTAATGCTATTACGGCAGCTACCGTGCATTCAAACAAGGCTGTGATGTGTTGGAAAAATGCACTAGAACTAAAAACAAAGAACAGCAGATGTCAATAAAAAATAAATAACAGAAGGTGACGTCAATATATCAAAGCATATTTACAAGCCAATAGCTAAGCACACAGCTAAAATACAAAAACTGTAAAAGTGAAACATTTAAATTTTATTATTTTAGCTAAAAGTTTTTTTTACACTCTTTCATTTTGTTAAAACCAACTTTATTGCTATGAACAACATCCTTTGTGAGAGCATGGACCTTCACAGGTTCTCTTTATGGAGAGATCTGGGGTCAAATGTGCGACGATACCGGACGTGTGGTGCAAACACTGTTAATATATCAACATAATCAACAGTTTTTTTTAAAAAACTCTCTATTTTTTTTTTTTTTACTTTCAAGAATTTTTAGCAAAATTATGTGGACAATACCAATATCAAAACACACTGGTACATGCGAAAGAAGTATTTGAGAGAACACGAAAGTGTACACAATTGCAAAATTTCCACATCAAATCGAATTACACACAGAAACACATATGAAAGGGGGAGGAATCACACAGTTCCTCATTAAAACCCCCAACATTTCACTCTCCCGAACAAAACACAGGTCACTACCAACAGCTCCCTGAGATACCAATCTCAGTACCAGAAACTAACAGCAATATTAAAAAAGTACAAAAAGAGCAGACAGAAAATAAAGTTAAAAACAGAGAATAAAAATAGGAAAGGAAAAAAGAGAAAGTAAGCCAGGTCCAGAGGAAAACCTTTGGGGGTGCCCGCCCCTATCCCACGAAACAGGGAGTAATAAAACAACATTCATACAATGGGGAAAATAATTATTTGATCCCCTGCAAATTTTGTAAGTTTGCCCGCTTAAAAACAAATGAAGGGTCTAGCATTTTTCATCATGGTTGTATTTTAAATAATAGAGACAGAATAGCAATCATAAATCCAGAAAAAAAAAAAAAAACCACACGATACAAATGTTCTAAATTGAGTTGCAGTTCAGTGAGTATAATAAGTATTTGATCCTCAAGCAAAACTTGACTTAATACTTGTTGGCAAGCACAGAGGTAAGACATTTCTTGTAGCTGGTTACCAGGTTTGCACACATCTCCGGAGGGATTTTCGTCCATTCCTCTTTACAGATCTTCTATAAATCCTTAAGGTTTCTTGGCTGTCACTTGGCAACTCGAAGTTTCAGCTCCCTCCATAACTTTTCTATAGGATTAAGGTCTGGAGACTGGCTAGGCCACTCCATGACCTTAATGTGCTTCTTCTTGAGCCACTCCTTGGTTTCCTTGATGGTATGTTTTGGGTCATTAGCATGCTGGAAGACCCATCCAAGACCCATCTTCAGTGTTTCGGCTGAGGGAAGAAGGATCTCATCCAAGAATTTACAATTCATGGCCCCGTCCATTGGCTCCTCAACGTTACAAAGTCGACCTGTACCTTTAGCAGAGAAACAGCCCCAAAGCATAATGTTTCCACCTCTGTGCTTGACTGTAGGGATGGTGTCCTTAGGGTTGTAGTCAGCATTTTTCTTCCTCCAAACTTGGGGAGTCGAGTTAATGTCAAAGAGCTCAAATTTGATCTCATCTGACCACAGCACTTTCTCCCAATCCTTCTCGGAATCATTTAGAAGTTCATTGGCAAACTTCAGATGGGTCTTTACATGTGCCTTCTTGAGGAGGGGGACCTTGTGGGCGCTGCAGGATTTCAATCCATGGTGGCATATTGGGTTACCAATGGTTTGTTTGGTAACTGTGGTTCCAACTGCCTTGAGATGATTCACAAGCTCCTCCCATGTAGTTTGGGGCTGATCCCCCTCACTTTTCTTATGATCATCCTTACCCCATGAGGCAAAATCTTGCCTGGTGCTCCAGACTGAGGGAGATTGATGGTTACTTTGTATTTCTTCCATTTGTGAATAATCGCTCCAACAGTTCTCTCTCCTTCTCACCAAGCTTCTTACTGATGGTCTTGTAGCCCATTCCAGCCTTTTGCAGGTCTACAATCTTGTCTTTAATGTTCTTTGACAGCTCTTTGGTCTTGCCCATGGTGGTGAGGTTTGAATGAAAGAAAGATTCTGTGGACAGGTGTCTTTTATACACATAATGAGTTGTCGTTAGAAGCACCTTCTTAAATTGACAGAACTAATCTGTGTACCACACGAGCACATAGCCTGTCTGTAGAAGCCAGAATTATTGTTGGTTGATAGGAGATCAAATACTTATTTTTACGCACTGAACTGCAACTCAGTTTAAAACATTTGTGTCATGTTTTTTTCTGTCATTTTAGTTGATATTCTGTCTCTATCATTTCAAATACACCTATGATAAAAATTATAGACCCTTTGTTTCTTTGCAAGTGGGCAAACTTACAAAATCTGCTGGGGATCAAAGAATTATTTTCCTCACTGTACATTTAGCCCAGGGTTCCCACGTTAATTCAAAATTTTGCCACTGTATTACAGAGTATACTGTCTTTATTCTCATGGAACGTAATCCATGTAATTTTGTTATTTGCCTGAGCCAGGGACACAGAAGTTTGGTTCCAGGCTTTAGCAACAGACATCTTTGCTCCTAACAGGATATAAAAAAAATGTAATTAAATTAAAAAAAAAATCAAAAACGTCATTGTGATGGGGAAAGCCCTCCACCAATGCATTAAGTAAAGCTATAGCAGGGGTCTGGGGAACAGACACCCCTGTGACTCTACACAACACAGCAAAAATTCCAATGCAAAAGCTATGAATCCTTCGGCATTCCCACCAGATGTGGCACAAAGAACCCTGCAAACCACACCCTCAGAAGCAGAGAGGGGATGCAGATGGGTACATTTTAACTAAGTGTGTGGGAACCAGATACCATCAGGTATTTTTACATTGGCTTTTAATCAGAGCAACATTCATTTTCCCCGAATAGGATCCAAGAAAGCATTGGTGCCAAACATCAACTTCCATGTCTTCCCCAAGATATCTCTCCCAGTCAACCATATAAAAGAACTTAAAAGGAAAGCCTAGTAAGCAGCCCGTACATGAGTGATATACCTCCCTCTGGCCAGAGTCTTGTGTGCACCACTGTTCGTATGGAGTAACCAGGGGCGGACTGAGCATTCAAGCACTCGGGCACTGCCTGAGGGCCCGGGGTCAGTAGGGGGCCCCATGAAATGCCCCTGGTACCTTTTTTATAGGCTTTTTTGAATGTGGGCAAAGATACAGGGGCCCCATGATGCCCTATGGCCCCATGAGTTGTCAGTCTGCCCCTGGAAGTAACCCTATATTGTTCCTGCTTATTGCGCATCAGAGAATGCAGAAAAGTGTGATATCTGGAAAAAGCAAAATTGTTCTGACGGGGGCATTTTCAGCACCTCCACACAGTGGTGTAACGCGAAAGGCCCTCGATGTGTAAACAAAATGTATAATTCTGTACAACTGCTTGTCCAGCCACCATTTAAACACCTTGATATTCAACCCTGGTGGGAACCTAGGATTATTAAAAAAATATGGGCCAACGGACAGAAGGGGGACACCAAGCCAGGATTATCTCTGAGCTTATCCCACAATGCAACCAATTGGGTTAGTGTCGGAGCCAAAATAGGCAAATGTTTCCTGGGAGAGCACCATGGTAAGTAATCCAGCGTATATCCTGAGTAAACTACCGATAGTTGAATCAGTTGAGCTGCCTGGTAGTAAGAATGAAAACTGGGAAGGCCAAACCCACCCTTTGCTTTTGGGGTAAAGAGGATTTTTTTTAGCAAATCGATGAGGACTGGAACCTCGCCAACACTAATCGTGGAACTGGAATGGGGAAAAAACTGAAGTAATAAGCCTTGGAAGTAAAAGGCATCTTAATGGAATTAAGTCTTCCCAGCCAGGAAAGATTGTGAGCCGACCACTGCTGTAAGTTCTACTCAAGTTTGCAGAGGTTGTAAGCTGCACCCCCAAGTATGGAAATGTGGGCAAATGGCAATGAGTCCCGAAAGCGTGCAAATCAACCTGGCTGGTACTGAAACATTCAAACGCCAGAGACTTGGACATATTAACCTCCAATCCCGAGATTGGGGAGTAAGCTAACAATTTTAGGGGAAGATGTTAATGGGGATGTAAAGAACACCAAGAGCTCATCTGCAAGAAGTACACACTTGTGCTCTTGCTGTCCGCAACATACACCTCCTATGTCGGGGTCAGTCCGAATCACCACCGTAAGGGTCTCATTAGCCATCACAAAGATTAAAGGGGAAAGGGCGCAACCCTGTCGTGTGTCCCGCTTCCATTTTTTAAAATCAACTTTATTGCTATGAACAACATTCCTTGTGAAGGCATGGGCCGTGACAGGTCCTCTTTATGGAGGATCTGGGGTCTAATGTGCGGCGCCTTTGCGCACAAGCACGGGGGGGGGGGGGGGGTTTTGGGTAGGTGGGGTGTTGGTTGGACTGGTAGATTAAAATTTTTTTATATAATAATTTTACTTAAAAGTTTTTTGTTTTTTGTTTTTTAAACACGATCTCTTTAATTTTCCTAAGATTAACTTTATTGCTATAAAAATTCCTTGTGGGAGCATAGGCTGTGACAGGCCCTCTTTATGGAGAGATCTGGGGTCTTATGTGCAGTGATACCTTATGTGTGGTGCGAACAATGTTATCATATGCGTGCGCAAACTATGTATACGTTTGGCTTTGCGCGTGTTCGAGGGCACTTTTTTTATTTTATTTGAAAGTTTTAAAAAAAAAAAATTTTAAAATCAACTTTATTACTCTGAACAACATTCCTTGTGAGAGCATGGGCTTTGACAGGTTCTCTTTATGGAGAGATCTGGGGTCTGTTAGATCTTTTCTCTGGCCTCCAAAGCAGCCAGACAGACACAAATTGGTCTGATCGGCTGCTTTACTGGCCATAACCAGGCAGTAAATACAAAACCGAAACGACAAAATACTCGTTGCTTCCGGTTTCTTAGACCATAGAGATAATCGAGGATGTGACGGTACTCGATCATCTCAATGGTCAGCCAACAGAACCACCAGCTGCAATCTCTGATGAGATGGGAGAGCCTGGGAAAATGGTGGAGGGGGGCCTCCCTCCGCCTGTAAAAGTGATCCAGCAACTAATTAGCCGCTAGGATCTCTTTTACAAAAAAAGAGCATTGCCAGACAAAAAAGGAAAAAAAAAAAAAAAAGATACTGGGATGATGCAGGTATCTGCTTCGTTCTGATATAATCACAGCAACTCAAGAACGTACAGGACGGCAAGGTAAAACTGTTTCCTTTGCCTAGTTGTGCAGCATGGCAGAGGTGCATACATTTACTCTGAAAATATATTTTCCATAATGGCTTTTTAAATATCAGTCACATATGCATAACACAGTGTTTTTTTCCCTAAAAAAAAATGGGGAATCATTTAAAAAAAGAAGAAGAAACATTTTATGACATTAAAATTTATCAAATTTTTCATTTTCTAACTTTAGAAAAACATTAAAGTGGTTGTAAAGGTTTAGATTTTTTTTTTTAATAACAAACGTGGCCTACTTACCTGCTCTGTGGAATGGTTTTGCACAGAGCAGCCCTGATCTTCTACAGACCCCCTGCTGAGCACTCCTAGAGCAAGCTGCTTGCTCTAGTGCACTCATGCGAGCGAGCTCCTGAGCCGCCTCTGTATGTCTATGTGACACAAAGAGCGAGGCTCAGCCCCGCCCCCCACTCCCTCCTTCATTGGCTCCTGCTGCTGTGTTTCAGCCAATGAGGAGGAAGAGACCCGGGAGAGATGCTGCTCTCGTGCACATCACTGGATCTGGCTCAGGTAAGTATAGGAAGGAGGGGCTGTATACTGAAGGTTTTTTACTTTCATGCATAGAATGCATGAAGGTAAAAACCCTCAATCTTTAAAACCCATATTGTCAAAAATCCTTCATATCAGAATAAACATCACAGCCCATCAACCATTTATGTAGAAAATCAATTATTTGTGTGATATATTAAAAACCAAGGAAAAACCTCTCACCTCTTTTTCCCAGAGTACCACTCAATAAAAAAAACCAGTGTAGTATCAATGGTAACATTGCCATGAAGCCCAGATACAGCCAATCATAAAGCTCCGGAGATCCTATACATTGCCGGCATATGCTGCTGGGATCAGACCTCTGCCCTCGTGGGCAAGCCTGGAAATCAGAGACACATATTAGCCTTTTCCCGCAATCAAAAATACACATTTCCCATGGACACCAGATCAGCTTTCAAACATGGAATTGATTCTGCTCCAGATAGGCTCCTATTCCCATGACAGTCATAGTTATGTAATAATAAACAAACAGAGGGCACACTGGCCCAGTGCATTATCCTTTAAAATAGCTTTAATGAATAAAAAGGTAAGCATTACACTCACAAAATCGATAAAAGCACATGTTCATATCATGAAAACAGCACAAAACAATCCGCAAACATCAAGATGTGACAGAACGATGGAACTTCAACAAGCTGGCGCGTTTCGAGGACTTATCCTCTTCCTCAAAGCCCTCAGGACTGTTAGCTGCTTCTAGACTGATAAATGGTGTGTGAGGTCAAACCCACCAATCAGTCCAGGGGTGTCACCAGGTCGCCTGTGGGATGTGGTATGGGATACACAGAGTTAATACCCACCCACAGTCGGCCTGTATTGGATTTAAACTAATATAGCATTTTGTTGTGTTTTTGTTGTATTGGATTTAAAAAAAAACAACACTTTACAGATACTTTAAGTGACTCCTCCTTCATCGACTTCTCCTGCTTTAATTACAAACTTACCTTTAGCTTCATGGAACAGATTTGTAAGCATCAATGTAATGCACACTTTGTAACAAACCACCAAATGGACACATTCTTACTTTACAACTCTGTCAACTCACCCCACACTCTCCGTACGTTTCATTGGAACCATTGGAGAAAAGGATAGGTTTTCCGCAGTAGAGGCCAATGCATGTCTTGCTTGTTTCCACAGCTGAAAATGGAAATCAAAGAAAGAATTTAAAATACATGTAAGAAACTACTAAAACAAAACATAAAAAAGGGAAACACCATTCAGCTAATGGGCTGGACACTAAAGCTGGATTCCAGGCAGCATATATGAGGATAGTCTCATTGGCCTAAGATTTACACAGCTCTTCCAGCATGAACTCCTGACTTTTCTCTTCCACAGTTATGGAACACTGCTGGAATAGATTGGAGAGCGAGGGAGCAGAATGAGAACGATGAGGTCATCTCTCTGCTCGCTCCTCCTGTAAGCATGTTCCTGGTCATCCACTGTGAATGCAGCAGCAACAGAGAATGACTATTAAAAGGTACAGTGAATCTGTCTATCGTGAATTTTTGAGTCTGTACATAAATAAAAATGAGGTGTAAGAGTAGAATCATTAAAGTGATTGTAAAATATCACGTTTTAGAATTTTAAAAATAACGTCTAGATTTACATGCTCTGTGCAGTGGTTTTGCACAGAGCAGCCCCGGTCCTCTTCTTCTAGAGTCCCCCGTTGGAACTTCTGGCTCTACCCTCCCCGCCAAGTGCCTCCATAGCAAGCCGCTTGCTATAGGAGCACTTGTGCGGCTCGGCCCTGCCCCCCCGCTCCCTCACTAGCTGTGATTGACTATAGGGGGTGTCAATGGCTCCTGCTGCTACTTCTGAGCCAATGAGGAGGGAGAGAGCAGAGCCTCTGCTCTAAAGCACAGAGCTGGATCAATATGGGGCTCAGGCAAATATGAGGGGGAAAAAAACAAACAAAACTGCAAATGAAAAAATGAAAATAAATCAATAAAATTCAAAATTGCTGCCAGTTCCAATAAATCAATGTAAAGGGAGGGTATAAAAATGGAGCGCTGCACCGCACAGCCACCCCTATGAGTAAGTTGAATATGACGAAACACGTCAGGGCAAGGCTGTGCGGCGACTGGAACCGGAAGTGATGCAATTGCGCCAGTGACTGGGAATCCGTCAGTGGTGAGAGCACTGTCTTGGTTCCCCATCAGTGTTTACACCTATTGCAACATCTTTGGGCTTTTTACTTGCTTTGAGTTTGTACATGGCTGTCTATTTTAGTGAATAAAGGAGCTGTTTTGTATAGCACCATTGGGGCTTTTCTTCTGTTTTACATTACCACTTTACCTGAGAGTGGAGTATTAATTTTTTTAATCCCCTTTTTTGCAGTGTTATCCACAATAAACACACACCAAGCAAATCCAGCAGTATTCTGTTGTGATCTTCTGCTGCACGCCAAGTCTAGTGCTGCCCTCTTCCATCATCAGAAGCCAGCAGCCTCTTTGAAGTCCTTGCAGCTGGCCCCCCTGATGATGCACCGGGTACACATCATCAGTTGTAGATTGCCTTGAAGCCTCTTGGGATGCATAACGTGAGTATGTTGGGCAAGCGTGGGCTTCATCATTATGGCTTAGGTGCGAAAGGCAGAAGAGCAGGCTAGTATTTGCAAAAGAAAAACAAATACCTGCTGCAGTTTTGTATTTTTGTCCAGCTCCTCCCCCATCACCAACCTTCCTCATGCAAGAATGATGTATTCCTCCTCCCAGCCTCTTAAGGCGAGGTTCACACCTATGCAGGTTGCGTGTTGCGTTTAGCAGTTAATTTTTCTTGTTGCTAGGCAGATTTAAATTGCAAAACGCATCAAAAATGTAGCAAAAATGCACTACATGCTTTTCTGTAGCATTTCTATTGAGTCTATAGAACCAAAACACTACTTTTTGCATTAGAAAAAGTCCCTGACCCTTTCCAAAAAACACACCGGGTGAAACCGCACAGATGTGAACACGTCCCATAGAAAATCATGTTAAATGGACTGTACTGCGTTTCTGGAAAACGCTCAGGTGTGAACCTAGGATAAGATCTCATATCCCAAGATGCTGCAGGAGCAGTGACACATAATGGTCAATGGTTGGGGCTGACACAAATCATTGGGGGGGGGGGGGGTGGCTGCCTGAACCTGGAAGAGGCAACCGGCGTTCAGTGACTAACAGGGACCAAGATGGTGGTAGGGGACGCAGGCTGAGACACCTGGTCTGCACATCGCAGCAAGACATTGTTGGATTTGCTGGACAGGAGAGTATAGACTCATTCACACAGGAAGTAGTAAAATTAGGTGGTCGAGCTGTGGTTTTACCAACCTATAGCCCAACACAGTGGGCGGCAGGGTTGTCCACATGTTGAAACCAAAGCAAAATGTATCCCCCCTGTTGGGTTTGATGGGCATTACCACCACCATATACTACCCATTAAAGTGAACAGAGCGACCATCCTGCACCTGTGTGCAATGCGTGTGCTTGTGGCTTGGTGGTGCAGGCTTGTCAGGGTTAAAACAGGCAGTGAGGAGGAGACATATCACAGCCTGCCAAATGCCCTCTGAAAAGCGATCCACAGTAGATCATTTTTCAGAAGGCAGCAAAGGCTGCCGCTACTGTACATGAGCCCAATCTGAATGGAGGACAACCCGGCATTACAGCTATGTGACAGGAGAGTGCTCTATAATATTCATCCACACATCTGTATCTACAAACAACATGAACAATTATAGGGATCCCATTAATTAAAGGGCCTGTCCACCTGGCTGTGACTTGTCCCCATCATACTGCTCCTCAGCTCTATTACAGGACCAAAGCCCCCTCCTGACCTTCCATCCCCCCTTCACCTGCCATGCCCCCCATGTGTGCTGTATACACCCCCCCCCGTGTGGTTGTCATGGTCTTCCAGTCATGTCACAGGTCTCTGCACTCACCCATCAAGAGCCAGGGTCAGGATCACCCATCTGCAGGCATAACCAACACTTCCGGGTCTGAGGCTGCGGATGTCGTGACGTCGTTGATCTCACATGATAAAGGATGGGACATAGTAGCTGCGGAAGCCATTTTGACTCTGGGCAAAGTTGGCAAAACTATAATTAGAAAACCGCTTTGTACAGAGAAAATTACATATGTGTGCATGCTAGATAATGCAGGAGGCAAAAACCAATTTGTTTTACAGCCGAGGTAAAGCAGACTGAGGTTTGCCCAAAACAAAGATGGCCCCCGCCAGTTTGCAGTCCTGCGGTGAAGTGTCATGTCGGCTCTGAAGTTTCGCTTACCCCCAAATGATGGGCCGGTGCTGTCGGTGGTGGACATGCACACGGGCGGGGAGCCCCTACGAATCGTTCTGAGCGGGGCCCCGGTGCCGGAGGGGAGCACGGTCCTGGAGAAGAGGCGCTGGGTGCGGGATCACATGGACTGGGTCCGCCGCCTGCTGATGCTGGAACCCCGGGGGCACCGGGACATGTACGGGGCTCTGCTGGTGCCCAGCGAGGTGCCAGAGGCCCACATAGGGGTGCTGTTCATGCACAATGCAGGGTACAGCACTATGTGTGGGCATGCCGTCATCGCCCTGGGCCGCTTCGCTGTGGATTATGGGCTGGTGGATCCGCAGGGGCGGGACACTCCGGTCAATATACACTGCCCCTGCGGAGTGGTGCGTGCCTACGTCTCCCATAATGAGGGGCGCAGTGGTCATGTGCGCTTCCATAGTGTCCCGGCCTTCGCCCTCTCTACAGGTAATTGTTGTCTTCACTGTCTTGTTATTCATATGCTGCTCCACATTATGATGTCACCGCTGTGTCACTTGTTGTTGCGTCACCTTCTGTACCGTATGTTATGGCACGTCCTTCGCTGCCAATATGGTGTCATCCCCTTTTAATACGGTTGACCATCCCCTTCTCAAAAAACTCCACTCTCTTGGCCTCAGAAACTCTGCTCTCTCCTGGTTCTCCTCCTACCTATCGCAGAGCTCCTTCAGTGTTACCTATAACACTGCCACCTCCTCTTCACTCCCTCTTTCTTTAGGGGTCCCTCAAGGTTCTGTCCTTGTACTCCTCCTCTTCTCTATCTACACCTCCTCCCTTGGTCACTTGAGAAACTCCCATGGCTTTAAGTACCATCTCTATGCTGATGACACCCAAATCTATCTACCCCTCACCTCACCCCCCCTTCAGTCTCCTCTCGCATTACTAACCTACTAAGTGACATATCGGCATGGATGTCACCACACTTCCTCAAACTCAGTCTTTCCAAAACTGAGCTCTTGGTACTCCCCCCAGCCCGCGCCCCCTCCCCCGACTTCTCCATCAAGATCCATTACACAATCATCAGTCCCTCCCCTCATGCCAGGGTACTAGGTGTAATCCTAGACTCCCATCTGTCCTTTCAGCCCCAAATCCAATCGCTGTCCAAATCATGTAGACTTCACCTCCGCAACATCTCCAAGATACGCCCGTTCTTAACCTCGGAAACCACTAAGCAACTCATTCACTCCCTTATTATATCTGGCCTTGACTATTATAACTCCCTCCTCATTGGCCTACCTAATCGCAGGCTATCCCCTCTTCAGTCTATCATGAATGCTGCTGCCAGACTCATCCACCTTACTAACCATTCTGTATCTGCCATCCCTCTCTGCCAATCCCTCCACTGGCTTCCCGTTGCCCAACGGATAAAATTCAAAACATTAACACTGACATTTATTATTATTATACAGTATTTATAAAGCGCCAATAGTTCGCTCAGCGCTGTACATTTACAAAGGGGGACAGAACAATAACAATACAATGCAAAACATGAGGGGATTGAGGGCCCTGCTCTTTCGAGCTTACAATCTAGAAGGGAGGGGATGGTGGTACGGGAGGAAAAGCTGTGGGGGATGGAGTGGTAGGAAGAGTGGAGGAGGCCGGCAAGTTAGCAGGGGGTGGGGTAGGCTTCCCTGAAGAGATGGGTTTTCAGGGTGCACCTAAAGGAGAGGAGATTAGGTGATAATCTGATGGGTTGGGGCAGGGAGTTCCAGAGGATGGGTGACACCCTGGAGGCGGGCATGGGAGGAAGAGACCAGGGAACTAGAGAAAAGGAGGTCTTGTGAGGAGCGGAGTGTGCGTGTTGGGTGGTACTTGGATATTAGGTCAGTGATGTAGTTCGGGGCAGTATGGTGGACGACTTTGTACGTCAGTGTTAGGATTTTGAATTTGATCCGTTGCGCAATCGGAAGCCAGTGGAGGGATTGGCAGAGGGGGGTGGCGGAGATGGAGCTGTTGGAAAGGTGAATGAGTCTGGCAGCCGTATTCAGGATCGACTGAAGCGGGGGACAGCCTGTGGCGAGGCAGGCCAGTAAGGAGGGAGTTGCAGTAGTCGAGTCGTGATATGATGAGGGAGTGGATGAGCTGCTTAGTGGTTTCTGGGGTTAGGAACGTGCGTATTTTGGCGATGTTGCAGAGGTGGAGTCTGCACAAGTTTGTTAAAGATTGGACTTGGGGCTGGAAGGATAGGTTGGAGTCCAGAATGACACCAAGTACTCTGGCCTGCGGGGCGGGTTTGATGGTGGCGTTGTTGGATGTGATGTAGAAGTCAATGGGGGGTGGTGTCCGGGCTGGGGGGAAGACAAGAAACTCGGTGTTGGAGAGGTTCAGTTTAAGGAAGTGGAGCGACATCCAGTCTGATATGTCGCTCAGTAGGTGTGTGATTCGGGCAGAGACCGAGGGGGTGAGGTGGGGGGTTGAGAGACAGATTTGTGTGTCGTCGGCATAGAGGTGGTAGTTGAAGCCGTGAGAGTGTATGAGTTGGCCAAGGGAGGAGGTGTAGATGGAGAAGAGAAGGGGCCCGAGGATGGAGCCTTGAGGGACCCCAACAGAGAGGGGGAGTGAGGGGGAGGTGGTAGCATTATAGGTAATGCTGAAAGAGCGTTGTGACACGTAGGATGAGAGCCAGGAGAGAGCAGAATCTCTGAGGCCGAGGGAGTGTAGTTTTTTGAGGAGGAGGGGGGGTGGTCGACTGTGTCGAAGGCCGCAGAGAGGTCAAGGAGTAGGAGCACTGAATAGTGGCTATTCGCTTTGGCAGTTAGCAGGTCGTTGGAGAGTTTGAGTAAGGCAGTTTCGGTGGAGTGTAGGGGACGGAAGCCGGACTGTAGGGGATCGAGGAGGTTGTTGTCGTTGAGGTGAGAGCTTAGGCGTGTAGACTAGGCGCTCGAGGAGTTTGGATGTGAATGGGAGCAGGGAGATGGGTCTGAAGTTGTTCAGGTCATTGGGGTCCAGGGAGTGCTTTTTAAGTATGGGGGTGATGTGTGCATGCTTCAGAGGGGAGGGGAAATTGCCGGAGGAGAGGGAGAGATTAAAGATGTGGGTGAGGGAGTGTAGGATGGAGGGGGAGGGAGGTTGTAGGAGTTGTGAGGGGATAGGGTCGAGGGGGCAGGTGGTGAGGCGGGCATCAGAGAGGATCTTGGAGACTTCCTCGATGGTAGCAAGGTCAAAGGTGTGAAGTGTTGGGGGGGCTTCAGTATGAGGAATGTAGGGTGGGATGGGATGGAGGTCAAAGCAGTGGTGGGGCCGTGGGAGAGGGGTGATGAGGGGGGTAGCTGAGTGAGGGGGAACGGGGTTGGAGGGAATTTGAGCAGGGACGAAGTCCCTGCGGGTTATGTTGAGGGAGAGGGGGGATGAGGGGGTAGCTGTGTGAGAGGGGACGGGTTGAGAGGGCGTGGAGTTGCGGCGATGTCCTTGCGAATTGTGTCAATCTTGTTTTTGAAGTGATTGGCAATCTCAAGGGCAGTGAGTGAGGTGCTGGGTGGAGGTGGGGGTGGCGAGAGTAGAGAGTTGAAGGTGGAGAAGAGTCGGCGAGGATTGGAGGAGAGGGCCTTGATGAGGGTCAGGAAGTAGGCTTGTTTGGCTGCGTGGAGGGAGGAGGTGTAGGTGTGGAAGGAAGATTTGTAGCGGGTGAAGGCTTGTTGGGATTTGGTTTTGCGCCATAGCTGCTCCAGGGCACGACTGTGTCGTTTGAGGGTTTTGGTGTGATCAGTCTGCCAGGGCTGGAGCGGTCGGGGTCTGATGTTGCATGTGGTTAAAGGCGCTAGTGAGTCAATGGCTGTTGACAGCGCGTTGTTGTAGGCAGTCATAGCCAAGTTGGGGCAGGACAGGGGGAGGATGCGGTCATGGAGTTGATCAGCTGCAGAGTGGAGGGGGGCAGGGTTAAGGTTGCGGAGGTTACGGCTGGTAGTAGTGTGACATTTGGAGGGGTAGGCGTTGGAGGACAAGGAGATAGAGTAGGTTATAGGGTTGTGGTCAGAGAGAGGGAAGGGGGTGTTAGTGAGGTTGTGGGGAGCGCAGCGGTTGGAGAAGACAAGATCAGGGATATAAAGCCATTTATAACTCTGCCCCAAATTACATCACCGATCTTGTCTCTAAATATCGCCCAAACCATCCTCTCCGCTCCTCACAAGACCTCCTACTCTCTAGCTCTCTTGTCTCCTCCTCCCATGATCGTCTCCAGGACTTCTCCAGAGCTTCCCCCATCCTCTGGAACTCTCTATCCCAATTTATCAGACTATCACCTACTCTGCTCACTTTTAGGCGATCTCTGAAAACCTATCTCTTCAGGGAAGCCTATCCTGCCCTCAGCTAATACTGGAATCCTCTACTCTTCCTACCACTCCATCCCCCACAGTTACTACCTTTTCTACCACTAGCCCCTCCCTCTTAGATTGTAAGCTCCCAGGATCAGGGCCCTCCTATCCCTCTTGTATTGAACTGTATGATTGCTGTATTGTCTCCCGTTATATTGTAAAGCGCTGAGCAAACTGTTGGCGCTATATAAATCCTGTATAAAAATAATCACCCCCTGCACTACATCATATTACTGTACCCCCCCTCACCATCTGTTATTGTTATGGCTTCATCCCCTGCACCACATGATATTACTGCACCGCACCCCCCCCCCCCCCGCACCACATGGTATTACTGTACCTCCCACCCCGCACCATCTGTTATGCTATCATCCCCAGCACCACATGATATTACTGCACCACTTGTACCATTCATTATGACGTCACCCCCCTGCACCACATGATATTACTGCACCCCCTGTACCGTCCGTTATGATGTCACCCCCTGCACCATATGATATTATTGCACCCCCCGCACTGTCCGTTATGATGTCATCCCCTGCACCACATGATATTACTGCACCCCCTGTACCGTCCATTATGATGTCACCCCCTGCACCATATGATATTACTGCACCCTCTGTACCATCCGTTATGATGTCCTGTTCTGTCAGTTATGGTGTCACTCCCTGTTCAGTGTGATATTACTGCCCCCCCCTACACCATCTATTACCACATCGCACTCTGCACTATTCGTTACAATGTCACCCTCTGCACCATCTGTTCTCACTGCACAGTCTGTTATTGTATCGCCCTCTGTACCATTCGTTATGTTACCCTCTGCTCCATCTGTTATTACATCACCCCCTGTGCCTTACATTATTACATCACTTATGTTATTTTGTTGCCCTCTTTGCCAAAGGTTACTAGTACCATCACTGGTAAGTATGTTAGTACTCCTCCCTCTGTACTGTAAATTATTACTTCACTTGCTGCACCATAAATTATTGCATAGTACATTAATATGTCACCTCCTAAAATGTATATTATTGATTTCCCATATGCTTGGTATGTTATTACACCCACTGCTCTATGCATGTTTGCACCATATATGATTTCCACCCCCACTGCACAGTATGA